ATCACTGAAGAAATCAAAGAGGAAATCAAAAGATACCTAGAGACAAATGACAATGAAAACACAATGATCCAAAACCTATGGGATGCAGCAAAAGCAGTTCTAAGAGGGAAATTTATAGCAACACAATCCTACCTCAAGAAACAAGAAAAATCTCAAATGAACAATCTAAACTTAAACCTAAAGGAACTAGAGGAAGAACAAAAAACAAAACCCAAAGTTAGCAGAAAGAAAGAGATCATAAAGATCAGAGGAGAAATAAATGAAACAGAAACAAAGAAAATATTAGCAAAGATCAATAAAACTAAAAGCTGGTTCTTTGAGTAGATTGGGATCGACATATCTACACTAATATGTATAAAATAGATAACTAATAAGAACCTGATGTATAGGACTTCCCTGATGGTGCAGTGGTTAAGAATCCACCTGCCAATGCAGGGGACATGGGTTCGAGCCCTGGTCCGGGAAGATCCCACATGCCGTGGAGCAACTAAGCCCGTGCACCACAACTACTGACCCTGTGTGCCACAACTGCTGAAGCCCACGCACCTAGAGTCCATGTTCCGCAACAAGAGAAGCCACCGCAGTAAGAAGCCCGCGCACCGCAATGAAGAGCAGCCCCCATTCACTGCAACTAGAGAAAGCTCGTGTGCAGCAACGAAGACCCAACGCAGCCAAAAATAAATAAATAAATTTATTAAAAAAGAACCTGCTGTATAAAAAATAAAATTCAAAAAATAAGTAAATTAAATTAAATTAAAAAATCGAGAAACCATTAGCCAGACTCATCAAGAAAAAGAGGGAGAGGACTCAAATCAATAAAATTAGAAATGAAAAAGGGGAAGTTACAACGGACACTGCAGAAACACAAAGCATCATAGGGGAACTACTACAAGCAACTCTATGCCAATAAAATGGACAACCCAGAAGAAATGGACAAATCCTTAGAAAGGTATAACCTTCCAAGACTGAACCAGGAAGAAATAGAAAATATGAACATACCAATCACAAGTAATGAAATTGAAAGTGTGATAAAAAATCTCCCAACAAACAAAAGTCCAGGACCAGATGGCTTCATAGGTGAATTCTATCAAACATTTAGAGAAGAGCTAACACCCATCCTTCTCAAACTCTTCCAAAAAATTGCAGAGGAAGGAACGCTCCCAAACTCCTTCTATGGTGGCACCATCACCCTGACCAAAACCAGACAAAGATACTACCAAAAAAAGAAAATTACAGACCACTATCACTGAGGAATATGGATGCAAAAATCCTCAACGAAACACTAGCAAACAGAATCCAACAACACTTTAAAAGTATCATACACCACGATCAAGTGGGATTTATCCCAGGGATGCAATGATTCTTCAATATACACAAATCAATCAATGTGATACACCACATTAAGAAATTGAAGAATAAAAACCATATGATCATCTCAATAGATGCAGAAAGAGCTTTTGACTAAATTCAACACCATTTATGATAAAAACTCTCCAGAAAGTGGGCATAGAGGGAACCTACCTCAACATAATAAAGGCCATATATGACAAACCACAGCAAACATCATTCTCAATGGTGAAAAACTGAAAGCATTTCCTCTAAGATCAGGAACAAGACAAGGATGTCCACTCTCGCCACTATTATTCAACATAGTTTTGGAAGTCCTAGCCACGGCAACCAGAGAAGAAAAAGAAATAAAAGGAATACAAATTGGAAAAGAAGTAAAACTGTCACTGTTTGCAGGTGACATGATAGTATACATAGAGAATCCTAAAGATGCCACCAGAAAACTAATAGAGCTAATCAATGAATTGGATAAAGTTGCAGGATACAAAATGCACAGAAATCTCTTGCATTCCTATACACTAATGAGGAAAAATCTGAAAGAGAAATTAAGGAAACACTCCCATTTACCACTGCAACAAAAAGAATAAGATACCTAGGAATAAACCTACCTAGGGAGACAAAAGACCTGTATACAGAAAACTATAAGACACTGATGAAAGAAATTAAAGATGATACAAACAGATGGAGAGATATACCATGTTCTTGGATTGGAAGAGTCAATATTGTGAAAATGACTATACTACCCAAAGCAATCTACAGATTCAATGCAATCCCTATCAAATTACCAATGGCATTTTTTTTTACAGAACTAGAACAAAAAAACCTTAAAATATGTCTGGAGACACGAAAAACCCCGAATAGCCAAAGCAATCTTGAGGGGAAAAAATGGAGCTGGAGGAATCAGACTCCCTGACTTCAGACTATACTACAAAGCTACAGTAATCAAGACAGTATGGCACAGGCACAAAAACTGAAATATAGATCAATGGAACAGAATAGAAAGCCCAGAGATAAACCCGCACACCTATGGTCAACTAATGTATGACAAAGGAGGCAAGGATATACAATGGAGAGAAGACAGCCTCTTCAATAGGTACTGGAAAAACTGGACAGCTACATGTACAAGAATGAAATTAGAACACCCCCTAACAGCATACACAAAAATAAACTCAAAATGGATTAAAGACCTAAATGTAAGACCAGACACTATAAAACTCTTAGAGGAAAACATAGGAAGAACACTCTTTGACATAAATCACAGCAAAATCTTTTTTGACGCACCTCCTAGAGTAATGGAAATAAAAACAAAAATAAACAAATGGGACCTAATGAAACTTAAAAGCTTTTGCACAGCAAAGGAAACTATAAACAAAAAGACAACCCTCAGAATGGGAGAAAATATTTGCAAACAAATCAACAGACAAAGGATTAATCTCCAAAATATATAAACAGCTCATGCAGCTCAACATCAAAAAAACCACCCAATCAAAAAATGGGCAGAAGACCTAAATAGACGTTTCTCCACAGAAAAGGCACATGAAAAGCTGCTCAATATCACTAATTATTAGAGAAACGCACATCAAAACTACAACGAGGTGTCACCTCACACCGGTTAGAATGGGCATCATCAGAAAATCTACAAACAATAAATGCTGGAGAGGTTGTGGAGAAAAGGGAACCCTCTTGCACTGTTGGTGGGAAGGTAAATTGATACAGCCACTATGGAGAACAGTATGGAGGTTCCTTAGAAAACTAAAAATATAACTACAACTCAGCAATCCCACTACTGGGCATATACCCAGAGAAAACCATAATTCAAAAAGACACATGCACCCTAAGTTCACTGCAGCACTATTTAGAATAGCCAAGTCATGGAAGCAACCTAAATTACCATCGACAGATGAATGGATAAAGATGTGGTACATATATACAATGGAATATTACTCAGCCATAAAAAGGAACGAAATTGGGTCATTTGAAGAGATGTGGATGGACCTAGAGACTGTCACAGAGAGTGAAGTAAGTCAGAAAGAGAAAAACAAATACCATATACTAACGCATTTATGTGGAATCTAGAAAAATGGTACAGATGAACCAGTTTGCAAGGCAGAAACAGAAACACAGATGCAGAGAACAAATGTATGGATTCCAGGGGGGGAAAGCAGTGGGGTGGGGTGGGGGGATGAACTGGGAGATTGGGATTGACATATATACACTAATATGTATAAAATAGATAATAAGAACCTGCTGTATAGCACAGGGAACTCCACTTCACTGTACAGCAGAAACTAACACAACACTGTAAAACAACTATACCCCAATTAAGAAAAAAAAGAGTACACAACTTGAAAGTTCTAAAATAAAAAAATAAAGATAACACTGAAAAGCAAGAAATGCTACTGAGGCACATGGTCACAAAAAATTATTCAAAACTGAAGTACCAATAGGAGTAACTTCGTCAAAATCACATGAAAAATATGCTAGAGGCTGTTTGGAAAATGGGAAAATAAAAAATTGTAGCAATGTGTACATCTTCATGTGTTTAGGGCATGTCCTCAAAAATGGTACACATCTGCTTCCATACAAGTTGCGTTCCATCACTTACACACAGAACGGTCATCACCATCGTGTACATACAGACCGTTACAGGATCCAGGTTAACGGAAACTCGGCTTTCAACCCTCAGCTCTTGGGTTACTCAAGCACGGTCAGCCATCAGCCAAACAGCCATGAGATTTAGCCTTAGCCTGAAGATTCAGCGTGCAAAGATCATTAATATTGAAAATCAAGCTATGTGAATGAGGACAAAAAAGAAAATAGACCCCGTGCCACCACCTGTTGCTGTTAGGCTTTCCCGAGGCACGAGCGCTGGAGAAGCAGCTGGAGCCCACCTCAGTGGAGTTCTGAAACTGACTACTCAAGCTTCCCCCTAGATGCCCTGCCACCGTGGGGCTGGAGCCTGCTCTTTGGGTGGTGGAGAGGGTGGAGACAGTTCAAGAAACTTTCAACTTCAAACCAGGTCCTCTTAATTAGCAAGTTATTCCTCCTCAGGGAAGCAGCTTCTCAATCCTCAGGCATCACTGCAGTACCTCGTCCAACCTCCAGGGGGCATTAAGTGCTCTGCTCTACAACAGCGATAGGCCAACCTGTCACCATCAGAGGTAGACGGACTGTGATAGGAGCTCATGGGGACAGTACAAGCAGGGCTTCTTCTCTTCCCTTCCCATCGTGTGCTGATACACTTCACAAGCAACTATTCTACGGTCCCCCAGAGGTGCCTACTGAGACATCCAGACAATCAGAGGAGACACAGATGAATCAAAAGCAGGGTTTACTTTTCTACCAAATTCTCCAATCCATGTTCCAGCCAATGGATGAAGGGTAAATCAGACCCCAAAGACTCTTGGTAAAAACAGTTTTAACTTTCTACAGGAAAAAAAAAAGTTATTTTTTTTACTTTAATAAAGTTCCTAGGCATTTGGAAGCAGATGAATAAATTTCACATATTGAATGGTCTGTGCTTTCTTCTTTAATGTATTCAAATGCTCCCTCCCTGCTGCCTCTTCCGTGATGAGGCCCCGAAAATAGTTCTGCAACTGCACCGACCGTCTTATTTCTGGATCACTCTATTGTCTGATACCCCAGAACCATGGTATGATTTTAACTGATAATGGCCCAAGAACAGCTGAAAAGATCTCAGTTAAACTCTTCAAACCTTCTTTGAGTGCCTACTATTTGCTGGGCATAGGCTAGGCACTAGGCAGTGATCCTGCTGGTTCTGAGAAAAGTAAATGGCGCTACAGAGAGGAGTTTTCCTCCCTAGTGGCAGGAGGATGTCTGCTGGGGACTGAGAGAACCAATTTCTCCTCTGGTTCTACCCCCTGGGGTAGGTACAGGGCTCAGGCCCCGGGAACAGATGCTGTGTCTCTTCTGACAGGTGCTGCCATGGAAGAACCACGAGCAGTTTCTAAACAGCGGTGGAATTTGCTCCACAATCCACATAGTGATGTGTCTCCAAGGAGCTCTGGGTCATGTGGCCAATGTAGGAAATCTTCACTGAAGTTCTAGGGAAAGGAAAACCAACGAGAATTAATTGTTTCTGAGATGAAATAAGTAAGAAACATTGCCCATGTAATTTCTTGCAAGCTCAGGCAATAATATCCACAGGTCCTAGATACGTATCTTCATGGTTACACAACAAGGAGGTCAGAGGATCTTTCCACATCCCCAGAGACACTGTGCCCTGAGCTGACCCTCAAATATGTGGTTCTGAACCAGGGACGATTTTAACCCACAGGGGACTTCTGGCAGCGTCTGAACATTTGGGGTTGTTACAATTGAGTGGGGGAGGAGGTGGTGTTACTGGCGTCTAGTGGGTAGAGGCCAGGCTGTAAAACGGCCTACAAGGCACAGAACAGCCCCTCGCAACAAACAACTGTCTGGCCCAAAATGTCAATAGTGCCAAGGCTAAGAAACCCTGCTCTAACCCTGCTATTTCAAATGTCTGCAGCAGAACCTTGTCACTTGCAAATTTAACAGTCACGGTTCTAGAAATTACCCTACCGGTCCATGACAATGTGGTAATTTGTGTGGCTACAGAGTAAGTCTGACCAGATGCCCAGGGCTTATGCCTTGAGAAAGCTTTTCTTTTCTTTACTAGTTCCATCAGGATTCTAAAGGGATCACACAACTCGACCCCATTTCATGGAGAAAATTCTACAACCGTTCACTGTGACCCTGGTGATTCGTGACAGGGATCTGGACACTGTATCTAAACGTCAGCAAGGCTCTGCCGTGTCTGTGCCTGTAAGGTACTGGGCATCTCCCCTTTGGTTTGTGGGTCCCACAGGCTCTCCTGAGCAAAGGTGGCCCGCTCACGTGGCCTGACGGTCCAGGCTCAAACACAAAGGCCCTGGACACAGGGAAATGAGCAACGTACCGCATGAAGACCACTGTATTGTGCACCAGGATATCGGGTAACCTGCAGAAGAAGCTGCCAAACAGCAAACAGAGAAATGGTTGTTTTTTTGTTTTTTGTTTTTTAAAAAGGCAAATCAGCAGGAGTGCTGAGTTACACTGTCAAACTGAGGAGCAGTCAGCCCCGTTTGGGTACCTCCCCTGCCCCACACCCGCCCTTCTGGCCTAAGTGCTGTCCTGGCTCACTAGTTCTGAGTCCCCACAAGTGTCCTTCCATCCTCCCACATCACCATCTTTTTGTCTGTTCATACCCATCATAAAATGCTGCAGCTTGGAAATGTTTCTAGTGGCCTAATGTTCTCTTTTAGGAATTTGAGCACTTCAGTCACATATCAAATACCACATCCTGGGCTTCCCTGGTGGCGCAGTGGCTGAGAGTCCGCCTGCCGATGCAGGGGACACGGGTTCGTGCCCCGGTCCGGGAAGATCCCACATGCCGCGGAGCGGCTGGGCCCGTGAGCCATGGCCGCTGAGCCTGCGCATCCGGAGCCTGTT